AGATCCAGGCTGTAGATCCAGGCTGTAGATCCAGGCTGTAGATCCAGGCTGTAGATCCAGGCCGTAGATCCAGGCCGTAGATCCAGGAGGCTGTAGATCCAAGCTGTAGATCCAGGCCATAGATCCAGGCTGTAGATCCAGACTGTAGATCCAAGCTGTAGATCCAGGCCGTAGATCCAGGCCGTAGATCCAGACTGTAGATCCAAGCTGTAGATCCAGGCTGTAGATCCAGACTGTAGATCCAGGCTGTAGATCCAGGACTGTAGATCCAGGCTGTAGATCCAGGACTGTATATCTAGGCTGTAGATCCAGGCTGTAGATTCAGGCTGTAGATCCAGACTGGAGATCCAGGCTGTAGATCCAGACTGTAGATCCAGGCTGTAGATCCAGGCTGTAGATACAGACTGTAGATCCAGACTGTAGATCCAGGCCGTAGATCCAGGAGGCTGTAGATCCAGGCTGTAGATCCAGGCTGTAGATACAGACTGTAGATCCAGACTGTAGATCCAGGCCGTAGATCCAGGAGGCTGTAGATCATAGCTGTAGATCCAGGCCATAGATCCAGGCTGTAGATCCAGACTGTAGATCCAGACTGTAGATCCAGGCTGTAGATCTAGGCTATGGATCCAGGCTGTAGATCCAGGCCGTAGATCCAGGCTGTAGATTCAAGGTTACGGTTCAATGAATAGAGCAGTCAAAATGACAGCTCTGGATGCTAAAATTAGAGCTACTCATAATGGCACAGAAATAAACTACATAAAGATGCAGAAAGGCACACTGGGGACTTTCGCACAAGTATTCTAATGTGGTTTTACTGCAAATGGCAAAAAACCCTAACCCTGAATCTGAAATAGTCACAAAGATATGCAATGAGTTTTTAGATTAGGTTCTTTTTAATCTTTTCATGAAAATGCATGGTTGTACAAGTACCAAGTGACACGTTTTTTTTTTCCAATTCAATTTCTTCCCCCAGTGATTTCATTTCCAAAACTAAAAACTGTCAAATTGACTGCTGAGGGAGTGTTAAAAGCATTCTCGTTTACATTAGCGTCACTGTTCTGTCAGCACTTAAACTAAACCGTGCTTTTACAGTGGCCTTTAAGTGATTTATGTCCTGGGAGACTTTCAACCATGTCTCGTGCTAATCCTGGAAAGTGACGGAGAAGCGTGGCCCCAGGGGATTGTGGGTAATCGCTTAATGGCTGCCCCTCATTACACTGAAGCACTGTCGCAAATCAAATCACAACTAGGTATTGGTCCTGCTCTTAATCCACGGAATCTCTAAATATCTTACATTTTGAAGAATCTGGTCATTTCTTTGGGAACAAAACTAATTTGTCGTTGACTTGAACACGATGCAAAAGAAATATTTTAACACACGCAATATTCAATTCAGTTCATATCAATTCAATGTATTTTTGTATTTCCCTAAATCTCAACAGTATTATCTATTTTTTCAAAGCTGTCGATTCTCCCACAACAGATCAGAGAATCAAACACAAGAAATAAGAAAAATATACATCCATTTTTTTAAAATTAAGATACCGGGAAGTTCTGATCATTTCTGCAGCGAAAATGAAAATGTCAAAGTAAAGGTAATAAATATCATTTTTAAACTTTAACAAAATATATATAAGAAATGCAATGATGAAAAACACCCAGAGCCATTGGTGAAAAAGGGGCAGATAAATGTCAACAGATGGCTTATGTCCAAACTAAGGCCTGAGGGCACATTGCGGCCCTCTGCGTCATTTCCCATGGTCCTCTGCTTTGCTAACACCAAATTAGCCACTGCAATCATAAACACAAGTGATGAAGGCTAACGGACACATTTTGGTTCTTTTTTTGTTGTTAAATGTATCTGGGATCTCTGTGTGACCTGAGATCTGGTGAACATATTAGCCAAAGAAAATAACTACTACTAAAGATTTTTGCGACTCTTGAGGTTCTCAGTCTTCTGCCGGAATTTGGTCCCTCCACTGAAGAGCGCCATAACTTCACACACTGCAAAAAGTGACAAAATATAAGGTAATAAATGCTTGAATCAAGTGTTTTTATCTTAGTTTGAGCACATTGTGACGGACTAAAAACAAGATTTTCCAATGGAACAAACAAAAAAGTCTTGTTGTAAAAAGATACAAGAAAATTTAAGAAATGTCATCCTTGAAATGAGACATAAGTTGCAACAGCACTTGACATGAGGCTTGACGGCTTGTTCCAAAGGAAAATCTTGTTTTTAAGAAAGTAAAAATATACTCGATTAAGAAAAAAAAACTTGATTCAAGCATGTATTACCTTATATTTTGTCACTTTTTGCAGTGTAATAACTATCATCTTCGCTGATACAGACTACAGTTTAGGGCTGCACAATATATCGAAAAAATATCGATATCGCGATATTGGTGCGGGCAATATCCAGATGAAAAATGTGCGCAATCATTTTTTTTTTTTCTTTTTTTCTATTTTTATTTGTTTATGAACTCATTGACTGCCATTGACATATTTGCCTTAGACCGTCTATTCAACTGGGGATTACAGGACAATAAAAATAGCTGAAAACAAACTTATTTTTTCTGATCAAAGTAGACAATCCAGTCTTTTAAAATTTGGTTCCACATTTTAAACAGTCTTAGGAAATAATATTCTATGGGTCTTGAGAATCAGTGAAATCATCAAAAATGGCTGGCAGCTACAATGAGTTAAGAACAGCAAAACAGACAGACACACATACAAACAAAAAGTATATCAATTTATGCATTTGAAAGTCATAATGTTGTGCTTATTTGTCTCTTGCGTTTCACTGCAGATGCAATTTTAGGCGAAAGATAAAAATATCGCAATATTACCAATATTGCAATACTAAACTTTTATCAAATATCACACCAATTTCCAGTATCTTGCAGCTCAACTACAGCTGCTCCTCAAAGTACCGAGGAGGAAGATAAACTGTCCTGTGTGTTTTCGTTCAGGTTCAGGGAAAACAATACAACCCTTAGATGCCACTTCTGCTTTTACAGATCTTTTTATGTTGTTTGTTTGACCACCCACATTTGGCACAGGTGACATACCGCCTCCTGACCTGTGATCTGACCAACACATGTCTGCTTTACAATCACAGACAGAAACAGATGAAAGAAGAAGACTGGTTTTAGTTCTGGCTAAAGATTTTTGCCCTGATTCAGTGTAAAAAATGATAAATATAAGGAAGTACAGGTTTGATTCAATGTTGAATCAGGGCAACGTGTTGGTGTATAGCCCTATCATTATAGCAGTCGCCTCAGAGGGTTTTACACAGTTGATTCCCGAACAGCAGATCAGAGAATCGCAAACTCAAAAATGCAATAATAACAAACACACAGGAGCCATTGGTCAATAAACGTGATCACATATGAGGTCATAATTGCAAGAATCAAGTGTTTTTTGTCTTCATTTTAGTTCATTCTGACAGTGTTAAAACAATGATTCAAAGCCATTTTAATTTATAAGAGCTGTTGTTTTATTCATTCCAAGGGAGACATTTCTTCTGCTTTGTCCCACTGGCAAAGCTTGTTTAAAGGCAGAATGTGCTCAAACTGAAGATACATTTTGGCAATTTTTTTATCACTTTCTGCAGAATGGGAAGCGGGATGACCAGTGTCCAGAAATGTAGATACATGTCCCAGATCTCCGCTGTCCTCAGACCTCCTGCATCAGCAAAGACACCTCTCAAAACAACACTATTGAAGAATTATTACAAACCTCAGCGAGCCCGTGTGCATCAGCTGTCCATTTTTTTTCTTATTCCAGGTGAAAATTATTTAGCACCAGATGAAAATTAAATTAAGCATCAAGTGTATTTTTGTTCTGATGATTTGTTCCAATGACCTTTTTTCGTTTATTTTCTTTAAAAAATATATATTATTTTGTATTTCAAGCTGAGTATTTTTCACTTTCTGTCTGAAAAAGTTGATCTAAAGATAGGACAGAGGCTAAAAATACATGTGTGTGAAATTGGTGATAGAGTGTTTTAGAGCCAGGACTACATTGTGGTTTGGACCTGGTTCAGTCCTACTTTAGTCCTGCTTTAGATCTGTTACAGACCTGCTTCAATCCTGGTTTAGTTCTGGCTCTGTTCTAGTTCAGTCGTGGTTCAGTCCTGGTTCAGACCTGGTTCAGACCTGGTTCAACCCAGGTTCAGTCCTGGTTCAGCCCTGCTTTAGCCATTGACAAGTCCAGCTTCAGTCCTGGTTCAGTCTTGGTTAAGTCTATCTTCAGCCCGGGTCAAGCAGCTTCAGTCCCTGGTTTATAGTCTCTCTGATGGCCTCTGGAAGTGGGCCCCAGGATCCTCCCCTCTCGGCCCCTGCACAAACCAATGTCACGCTCATAAAACCAAAACAGCCTCAGAGCTCGAGGGAAATCTCAACACTTCAAGGAATTTTCCAAACACGGGACGATGATTTAGAAAGAGCATAAAAGAATCAACAAAAGCAATAATAACAAACACATAGAAGAGCGGGATTATCACGGTCTATTGAGGCTGTAGATCCAGGTCTGAGGCTGAAGATTCAGGTCTGATACAGGACTTTTTATCTGAATTTGAGCACATCTTGTGTTAAAACAAGATTCTCCAATGGGACAAAGTCATTTAGTCTTATATCAAGAATTGTTCCTTTATTTTCTTATTCTAAAGGAGACATTTCTTGTATATTTTTAGAACAAGATCATTTTCCCATTGGGAAATCTTGTTTTAATGCTCAGTCAGAATGTGCTCAGACTAAGATCATTATTGCCAAATTTGACCACTTTTTGAAATATTTTTCATCATTTTTTGCAGTGTAGAAATAAACTACATTTGCTCTGGGAGTTCAAGTGTGTTTTTTTCTGATAAAACCTGTTCCGTGCAAAGTGAGTTGTTTCTTGTTTTTGCTTCTCTCTCTCCAGTCGCTGCCGTCCGACTCGGATTGCTCTTCTGTCATTACCCAGCGCTGAAATGTGGTGAAAAACTGTTTCATTGACCTCAAATGGTCCAAAAACACACAAACCACACACTTGCAAAACAAGAGGCCCCAGATGTTCCACGGGTCCTGGCAGGTACAGCGCTTCTCAACATGTGGCGCTGGTTCTGGAGTGTATTTGAGGACTGCAAAACCTCAAATATGTTTTAGTGATTGGAGAATTTTTGAGTCATGAGAATGCACTGTGTCTTCAGCTGTCGTTGTCAACATCCACTCTAAAAAAAAATTGGACAAATTGGAAAAACATTAATGAATAAGTAAAATACTGCTTAGAATAATAAAAAGTGATCAGCCAAAGAGAACAAGAAAATATGACTTTATATAATATAAACGAGATTTAATCTATAGTATCACAAACGTATTTTATCTAAACAAGAATTGGATTTGGAGGTGCTGATTCTCATCCCAGCCGCTTCACACTCGGCTGCAAACCGTCCCAGTGCATGTTACAGGTCCTGGTTTGTTGAAGCCAACAGGACAACATCGTCTGCAAACAGCAGAGATGAAATCCTGTGGTCCCCGAACCGGACCCCCTCCGGCCCCTGGCTGCGCCTAGAAATTCTGTCCATAAAGACAGTGAACAGAACCGGTGACAAAGGGCAGCCCTGGCGGAGGCCAACATGCACCGGGAACAGGTCTGACTTACTGCTGATGCAAACACAGCTCTGGCTCCGGTCATACAGGGACCGGACGGCCCTCAGAAGAGGACCCCGGACCCCGTACTCCCGGAGAACCCCCCAAAGGACACCCCGGGGAACATGGTCGAACGCCTTCTCCAAATCCAAAAAGCACTTGTGGACAGGTTGGGCAAACTCCCATGAACCCTCGAGTATCCGATGGAGAGTATAGAGCTGGTCCAGTGTTCCACGGCCGGGACAAAAGCCACACTGCTCCTCCTGAATCCGAGATTCAGTCTCCTCTCCAGCACCTTGGAGTAGACCTCACCGGAGAGGCTGAGGAGTGTGATCCCATGATAATTGGAACACACCCTCCGGTCCTCCTTTTTGTAAAGAGGGATCACCACTCGGTCTGCCACTCCATTGGCACCGCCCCCAATTGCCACGCGATGTTGCAGAGACGTGTCAGCCACGACAGCCTTCAACATCCAGAGACTTTAGATAATCAGGACGGATCTCATCCACTCCCAGCGCCTTGCCACCAAGGAGGCTGCCAACCACCCGCCCCGTACACAGTGCTGGCAAAGAACTGCTTCCCCCTCCTGAGGCGCCGGACGGTTTGCCAGAATCTCTTTGAGGCCGACCGATAGTCATGCTCCATGGACTCTCCGAACTCCTCCCAGTCCTGGGTTTTTGCCTCTGCAACAGCCCGGGCCGAGGCACGCTTGGCCTGCCGGTACTGGACAGCTGCCTCAGGAGTCCTACGAACCATCATGGCTCGATAGGACTCCTTCTTCAGCCTGACGGCATCCCTTACTGTCAAAGTTTGCAGATGCATTTTGTTATTTTGTTTTAAAGCTGGACACGGATCAGCATTTGAATGTTTTATTGAAGCAGATAAGAAACTGGCTGGAGGCAGAGGGCCACAGAGGACAGAAATATTGCCCTTTTTCTGTGTCATCTTTACCACTTTTTAGGCCAAATAATTCTGACTCACTGTGTTCCATCATCAGTGTCATGGCTAAAAACATGTTATTGTTCAAATATACTGCACTGTTGGACTTGTATGTATTCAAACATATCATTTATCTCGGCGGTCCACACTATAGCAGCTTGGAGATTGTCATTTATCTCCTGGACAGACGGCGTGTGCGGGTCCAGCACCTGTTGCAAGCTCACACACACGTCCTGGGGCAGCTTACCAGGTTAGTGGCAGCACCTCTTTGCTTGCAATATAGTTGGTGAATGTTCTATTAGTAACTTAACTCATTCAGGTTTATCTGATCTTATTGTCTTTAAGATGGCATCTTAAAGACAATAAGACATTGACAGCATTTCAATATATTTTGTTTATCTAGGCTTTGGCACTGCCTTTGGTTCGTCAGAGACCTCCTCCACTCTTGGCTCTTCTGCATCCGGTGGGGTTGAGTCTGGCACCACGAACGGCAGCAAGTTAGATGTCTTTGAAATGATTTTGAAATGTATTCACACATTCATTTTCAACATCCGGCCTAGGCAGATTTAATTTCGGAACTTGGTTTGGGAATTCCTCGCCTGAAACTAAAGACACTACCGCTTCCTAAAGGTTTAAATTTGGGAATGTTGCCTCGACCGTTGGCGAAAACAATCAACCTGCTCCTGCATCTGGAATAAAATGTGTAAGTAGAGGGGCAATAGTTTTTCGGACCGGATCCTCAAGCACAGAAGACTCATCAAAAGGAGGCTTTACTTTTGGACTGTCAAAACCAGAAGAGAAAGGTACTGACGGTGCTTCAACCCAGACTGGTTCCTTTGCAACTTCTGTAGAGAAGAGCGTCAGTGCTGTAGTGAAAGGTGCCGGATACCAGAACATTCATCAGGCCCATCAGAGAACCAAACACTGGCTCTTTAGTAAGAGATTTGACGATTTCAACACCTTCAAGGTAGGCTAAAAGGAGGCGACAGGAGTCTTGGAGAACCAGCGACTAAAGAGTCTAAAAAGGTGTCTTGGAGAACCAGCCCCAACTGCGTTCATGTTTGGAGCTGCCAATAAACACCCAGCCCAAACTGCGTTCATGTTTGGAGCTGCCAATAAACCCACAGCTCCATTTCCGTTCATGTTTGGAGCTGCCAATAGACCCCCAGCCCCATTTCCGTTCATGTTTGGAGCTGCCAATAAACTCCCAGCCCCATCTCCGTTCATGTTTAGAGCTGCCAAAAAAACCCCAGCCCCATCTGCTTTCATGTTTGGAGCTGCCAATAGAGACCCAGCCGCATCTCCGTTCATGTTTGGAGCTGCCAATAGACCCCCAGCCCCATCTCCGTTCATGTTTGGAGCTGCCAATAGAGACCCAGCCGCATCTCCGTTCATGTTTGGAGCTGCCAATAGAGACCCAGCCCCATCTCCGTTCATGTTTGGAGCTGCCAATAGAGACCCAGCCCCATCTCTGTTCATGTTTGGAGCTGCCAATAGAGACCCAGCCCCATCTCCGTTCATGTTCGGAGCTGCCAATAGAGACCCAACACCATCTGTGTTCATGTTTGGAGCTGCCAATAGAGACCCAGCCCCATCTCCGTTCATGTTCGGAGCTGCCAATAGAGACCCAACCCCATCTGTGTTCATGTTTGGAGCTGCCAATAGAGACCCAGCCCCATCTCCGTTCATGTTTGGAGCTGCCAATAGAGACCCAGCCCCATCTCTGTTCATGTTTGGAGCTGCCAATAGAGACCCAGCCCCATCTCCGTTCATGTTCGGAGCTGCCAATAGAGACCCAACCCCATCTGTGTTCATGTTTGGAGCTGCCAATAGAGACCCAACCCCATCTGTGTTCATGTTTGGAGCTGCCAATAGAGACCCAACCCCATCTGTGTTCATGTTCGGAGCTGCCAATAAAGCCCCAGCCCCATCTGTGTTCATGTTTGGAGCTGCCAATAGAGACCCAACACCATCTGCGTTCATGTTTGGAGCTGCCAATAAAGACCCAGCCCCAGCTCCTGCTTCACCTGGAGGGTTTTCCTTCGGCAAAGCCTCAGTTTCAGCAGATCGTCCCACCTTTGTCTCTGGAAAGCCTGCAGACAAACCCAAATCCTCGACACCAATGTTCAGCTGGACTCATCCTGTGGCCTCCTCTGGTCAAAGTCCACACAGTGAACCGTCGTCGACCCCCGCCCTGTCCTTCATCCCCAGAGCTGCTCCTGCTGGTTTCTCCTTCAGCTTTGGAGGAGCTGCCCCCCCTGCTGCTGCTGACCCTACAGGTACAATACAATACAATGCAATACAATTTGTTCTTGTATAGCCCTAAATCTCAACAGTATCATCTCAGAGGACATAACAAAACCATTGAAATCACCAACACTTGTATGCATCTGAATACTCCAAGACAGTGTCTCCCAAAGTGGGGTCCGCGGCCCCCTGGTGGGCCGCGAGGGTACTGCAGGGGGGCCGCGGGAGGTCATAAAAAAAATTAAAAAAATAACATAATTATTTAATGTTAAATTTATAATGTTTTGTTTGTAATATTAAAATATTTGTGTTCATTATTTGACTTGAATAATCCACTGTAATCATTTTTGTATTACAATGTTTGTAGCAGCAAGGCTATTTCCCCAAAATAAAATAACCGGAAGAGCCTATTCTTAATGTTGTCTTCTTGGTTATTATTTTGGGGGGCCACGCAGACCCGTCAGATTTTTAAGGGGGCCTCGGTGTTACTGAGTTTGGGAATGGCTGCTCCAAGATATAGCTGAATCTCTTTTCTGTTGTTATTGTCACTGTTGTCACATATACAGTACAGACTAAACGTTTGGACACACCTTCACATTCCAAGAGGTTTTTATTTTCATGATTATGAAAATTGTAGAATCACACTGAAGGCCTCAAAACTCATGAATTAACTCATGTGAAATTATGTTCGTACAAAAAAAAAAACTGTGTTATATTATGGTTCTTCAAAGTAGCACCTTTTGCTCTGATACTGCTTCACTCTTGGCATTCTCTGGATGAGCTTCAAGAGGTAGTGACCTGAAATGGTCTTCAACAGCCTTGAAGGAGTTCCCATGATGCTTAGACCTTGTTGGCCCTTTCGCCTTCACTCTGTGGTCCAGCCCCAAAACCATCTGGACTGGGTTCAGGTCCGGTGACTGTGGAGGTCATCTGGCTCAGCACCATCACTCTCCTTTTTGGTCAAACAGCCCTTACACAGACTGGGTGTGAATTCTACAGTCGATAATCATGACTGAAAAATTGTGTCTAAACTTTTGGTCTGTACTGTATTTGTTTAGGTCCTTTCTATAACCGATATTATTATTGTTTGTATTTCTTGCTTATTGACTGTCCCTATGTACATGTTCACCTGGTGTGTAAATAAAGGAAAACATGGAAAAATAAAAATATAAATCACCAACACAGATCAGAGAATCAACAGTTAAGACACAAAAAAGAATATAGAACAAATGTTGATAAATGTCCATACTCTGTTTAATCCAACCCTGTACCTTTGCTGCTGCGGGAGTTCTGTTTTAATTCCATACCATCTTTCTTGTTGTGCAGGTGAAGCTCCCTCTTCTGCATTTTCGCCAAATGTCTTGAATCCAGCTCCTTCCAGCAGCTTTTTTCCTGAACCAGACTCATTCTCATGGTTCTGCATTTGCGCCGTTCTCATCACAGTCTTCTCGACCCGTGGTCTTTGGGGCGGACACCATGGGTTTGGACGGAACAACTCTGCGCCCGCTGCAGCCAGTTCCACAGCAGGTCGATAAAAAATAGATTCAATAAGAAAATGTATTCCTTTATTTATCATTGTCAGCGTTGCACATTACAGCAGAGAGAGAAGCAAATACTCAGATTGCACACATCAAATATTGCTTAAGATAATAGACAATATAATTAAAATAAGATAATAAAATGGTAAAATAGAAGAAATATATCATTAACAATGGAGCTATAATTGCACGTGGTTGAGAAGTATTTACAGATGTGTATATTGTACTTTGATAACGGAGAATATGAGCAGAATAAACATCAGTAATAACATCAACAGACAAAGTGACTAGTGAATGGCAGAATATCAGATCGATAGATGCTTTATTGATCCCCGTAGGAGAAATTCAGGTGTCCACTAGCAGCAAAAAAATAAAATAAAATAAAAGGGATTATTCTAATTATTTGGATGGATATGTAATAATGCAGTAATAATAATAACAGGTGAAGTGACTAGTGAAGGGCAGAATATCAGATGGATAAGTAATAATGCAGTAATACAGTGGCTCAGTTGGGAGAGCATTGGCCTTAGAGCTTGAAGGTCGCAGGTTCGAGCCCACCGCAAGACCTACTTCATGACTCCCACTGATGACTCCGCTGAGAGATCAAGGCTCCTGTGGACTCACCACCTGCGGGAGGACAAGTGGACTGGTGCTCTGTGGACTGGGTGAAGCTCTGACTGCCACCCCCCCTGACCCAGAAATGGATTAAGGGGAAGAAAATGGATGGATGGATGGATAATAATAACAGGTGAAGTGACTGGTGAATGGGAGAAGTATCAGATGGATGGATAATAATAATAATTCAGTAATGATAATAAGAGGTAAAGTGACAAAGTTACAAGTGAATCATGATCGGTGAGACTTGATCGGACTCAGCAGTTCTTGTTATACATTCTCGTGATGCAGCAGAAACCATTAAATGACTGATGGATCCTGTTTGTGTTGTTGGCAGGTGGATGGGTTCAGTTTGGAGCAGCTGGTCCGTCCCACAGCGGCTCAGGTGTGGTCACTCCCAGTTTCACTCCTGCTGCTGCTCCCGTCGCTCCTGGAGGTTTATATTTCCCCAAGCTCCGATGATGAACTCGTAAGAACAGATTTTACATTCATTTGATTTTTGCTGTTATAAATATAAGGCAATAACAGTGAACCTTAGAAACTTAAAATATTGTTCAAAGGTCCACTAACTTCTCGTACTCAACATACAAAGCTGTGTAAAGTCCTCGGAGATAACTACTGTTGTGATTTAGGGCTATACAAAAATACATTGAAAACAAAAATCCTTGCTCACCCGTAGTGCTGTGGAACATGTAAACCATTTCTCACTCTTTCAGGTCAAATGACGACTCCTGGAGGACCAGCGATCGGAGGATGTAGAACTCTAAAAGCAGTGCGGCGTCAGAAGTAGAAGCCTCTTGACTTGGATCTAAGACTGGACTCAATGGGACGTCTGAAGAGGCTCAGTGGTCTCTCTAATCATTTGATGGGGTCGTCTCTCACACAGTTCAACACTGAATGATAAATATAGATCACACTTAAGTTTTCTCATTAACTATTGATTAAGGTCCAATTAGTGAAAAATGTATGGTTGTTTTGCTGTTGATTTGTATTAATTATACACATATTAGTCCTTTTTCTACATGGCCTTATTCAACAACTAACTAACATATTACTGTTTTGGTTTGCACTGAAAGAAAGACTTGATTTGGCCACATGTTGAAACAAACTGGACTAAAAATCGTTGTCAAAGTTGTAGTAACGCTGAGAGAGACCGAGTGGAGAAGATGTTTACATACGGCCGTCTCGTCTGTGCTTTCAAAACGCAGTGGGAGAAAAAAACGTGATTCGATTCTGTTTAATCTCTGTGTTCCATCTTGACAGTCCTGTGATATTGCTTCAGGTTTTCTAAAATGGGTGAATGTGTCAATAACTGCAGGTGAAAGCCAGACCTCTGAATCCAAGCAGGGCAGGGCCTGGTTATTGCTGTGATGGGAGACCTCTGGGAACACCAGATGGGGTGGCTGCGGCTGTAATGGGCCAAACTGTAGTTGTGCTCCTAGGCAAGACACTTCACCCACATTAGAATGAGTCTGGTGTGTGTGTGTGGTTGGTTGGTATTGGGGCTGATGGCACAGACTGGTTGCCGCGCTTCTGTCAGTGTGCCCCAGGGCAGTTAGAGCGACAGTCGTAGTTAATCTCTGTGTGTGAAATGAAAGAATAACAACACGTGAAGCGTCTTTGAGTGTCTAAAAAAGGGCTGTTTCAGAAATTACTTTTGGCAAACGATTACTTGATTTGGGATGTTTATTGAAATTCTCTTTTAAGTCCTTCAGACCTTCACTCTCCCAAACTCTGCTCCACGGCTCGTTTCGCTGTCATTATGCAGCCCAGAATGCTTGGGCTTTGGAAACTATTATTGAACGGCTAATACGTATCCTGTAGTAATAATAATTATAGAATAGATCCAAAGAGTTGCATATGCTCACCGGAGCAGGAAAAAACATGTTATGTGTTTTTTAAAGATTGGGTAAGACTTATTTTTGGACCGAAAGCCTTTGGAACAAGAACACTGTGTCCGTGTATTGACGCAGATCTTTGGCCTTTCAATAGTCCTTCACGGAGCCGCTGACAGAGCCGGACCCCAGCGCTGCTTCCATTGGCTCCTGAGGACGTGCGATGGTTGTGTAACACGCAGAGGTATTTCAGTGGAACTTCAGTGGACATGCCAAAAGCTCCTGACACCAAATACCAGGAAATACCACTTCACTATTATTCAATCCTGTCTCAAAGTCTTTCCTTATGCCACGGAGAGAACACAGACGGGGCACACGGCAGGAATCTGGACCAAGCTCGCGGTTTGAAGAGAGAATTACAATGTGTTGGTGATGTTACATAATGCTACATGTATGTGGGTTTGAGCATCATTTCTCACCGTAAGATTTGCCAATGGAAAGAAAGAGGAAAGAAAGAAGTTTGTTTGTGTTGTTTTAAAAGATTGCACTGGGTCTGAGTGTGGGTCACGCGACACGCTGGGGGATGATTCTGGTTTAAAATGTAAGAAGGACTCCAAATCCAATATGTATAGCCCTATAAATAGATTCACCAACACCGATCAGAGAATGAATCAGCTTGAACTCAGGAAATGCAATAATAACAAACACAGGTGAGATATCGTTGCACAGGCAGAAGTAGGACCACTGTTCATAAATGTCCCTAAGTGTCCATGATCATCAAAACCCCACTGGGTTTTTTCAGAATCTGTCAAAACCCCTATTGGGTTTTTGACTGTTTTTTGACCACATTGAGACAGGGATCCACTCCCATGGGCGAACACTTACTGTGGATGTTCTGATCTCAAGCGTAAGGTTGTAAAAGACACATAAGAAATGAGAATGGGTGAAAAATCCAGTTTTAAGATTAATTTACTAATAACTTACTTATCTGTCAGGGAGTGCCCCAAATTCGGAGTCAAAATGTTTGTAATCATTCTCTTCTCCCCTCAAGGACACTCTTAAACAATTGTCCAAATAGACAGTAATTAAGATTTCAAACATTTGTTGTTGTAATTATTATTACATTTTGTTGTAGAAGTGACGTTCTTCTGTTCTTTATTTGATGTTTGCAAAGAACAGGTTCAAGTGTCAAAATAAACATGAGTAACGCACTTGTTCTTTGTAAGTTCGTAATCTATATTTACAATGGACAAGTCTCTCCATGGCCTCGAACAAAAAAACAACTGCGACATGTTAGTGCCACATGAACCAACACTGAGAAGCACAGGGACTGGTCTCCTGCTGGGACTCTGAGGAGCACAGGGACTGGTCTCCTGCTGGGACTTTGAGGAGCACAGGGACTGGTCTCCTGCTGGGACTCTGAGGAGCACAGGGACTGCTCTCCTGCTGGGACTTTGAGGAGCACAGGGACTGGTCTCCTGCTGGGACTTTGAGGAGCACAGGGACTGGTCTCCTGCTGGGACTCTGAGGAGCACAGGGACGAGCACAGGGACTGACCTGCTGGTTCCAAAGTCAGGACTAAACATGAAGAAGCATCAGATTTATGCAGCTTAAATCTAGAGCAGTTCTGATTAAAGGCAAGTTCTGTTTATCTGCAACAACTGAACGCTGAAAGCACTTTTTAATGTTCTGTGATTATTTATGATTTGAATTCCTATGATTTTAATGTTTCTTCCATGTTTTGCGAACCACTTTGAGTTGCCTTGTGTATGAATCAATAAACCATACCAATAAACTTTCCTTTATACATTCTGCACTGTATCACCCAGGGTCAAACAAAGCAATCTCCTGAACTTGTGAATGTCCTGATGACCTCTCAGGATCAGATTTCTGCCCAAACCCTCACATTTGTTGTCTCAGAGGAGAAAACAGATTGCGGCGGAGTTTCGTCTCTGGTTTAGTCTTCAGTGAAGCCGCAGCAGGAGACACAATACCATTGTTTTCCAGTCGCTCAAGGCCAGAGAGGAGCTGACCTGGAGAAACCCTCGCCATCGCCGACTCTCAGCGAAGAAACAGGCTGTAAATCCAGGTTATGTGCAGAGAGACAGAGACAAAGAGAGAGAGACAGAGACAAAGAGAGAGAGACAGAGACAAAGAGAGAGAGACAGAGAGAGAGAAACATAGAGAGATAAGGAGAGAGAGAGACAGAAAGAGAGAGAGATAGAGAAAGAGAGACAGAGAGAGAGATAGAGAGAGAGATAAGGAGAGAGAAAGAGAGAGAGAGAGAGAAACATAGAGAGATAAGGAGAGAGAGAGACAGAAAGAGAGAGAGATAGAGAGAGAGAGAGAAACATAGAGAGATAAGGAGAGAGAGAGACAGAAAGAGAGAGAGATAGAGAAAGAGAGACAGAGAGAGAGATAGAAAGAGAGATAAGGAGAGAGAAAGAGAGACAGACAGAGGGAGATAGAGAGAGAAAGATAAGGAGCAAGAGAAAGAGAGACAGAAAGAGAGAGATAGAGAGAGAAAAAGAGAGAGATAAGGAGACA